TTCTGCGTAATCTATTATATAAAAATGGCAGAAGACTACACTTTCTAGGTATGTACTTGATATGGTATAGCATTCGCATAAGACTTATTCGCTTAATTTTGACCAGCACTATTTCGTATTTTTTTACTAGAATTTTAGACGCAATAACTTAGCACTCAAGCTGGCATAAAACTGGCAAACTAATAGAACCTCTCTAGCTCCCGTCAGTTCTATAACAGTTCCATGACAGCTTCACAGTAGTTCTAGGATACTATCAAAGCACTGCTATGGCGCCAAATTGGATCCTCAAATTACATGCTCAAAAGATCGGCCAGAGTTATACTATAGAGCCAGCCAAAATTAATCGCAAATATACCGCGCCACTCGTCACCTCTTTTTTTTACACCATTTCAGTATTTTAAAAGGCAACCAAATAGGCGCGAAAAAGAAGCATCCTCGATATCTTAACAGACCACCAAACAGTCCCAGAAGCAGGTAAACAAATGGATAGCTCTTTAGGAGTAAAAGAAATACAGAGTAATATAAACACATAAATAGTTCCTTGATGAAAGAAAGGTCGTAGATAAGCGGGAAAATACACACCATCAGATTATAACACCACCGTTAGATCATATAATAACCACACTAATAGATCATATCACTACCGGTCTATTATAGCGTTATATAGCAGGAATTAATTAAAATAGTAGTTAGAAAGCCATAAAGATAACCAAACTATAGGTTATGAATCCACATGTAGATTATGATACCATATTAGATTATGACATAAAGTTATGACGCCACAGTTAGATTATGACATTAGATCATATCACCACTATTAGATTATATCATCGCCATTAGATTATATCACCACCATTAGATTACATAAGCACTATCATAACCATTAGATTATATCATCGCCATTAGATTATACAACCACCATTAGATTATGTCATCGCCGTCATAACCTAACTCAAGTCGCCGGAGGTTATATGATATAATTATATCATATAACCTCCGGCGACTAAAGCTTCGCTATGCTTCACTTATAGTAAACCTTATATTGCATTCATGATTTACTTTACAGAAATTCTTAAAGTTCTAACCATATCAATTTGATATCATAATAATATCATTTTGATATCAATTTGATATTATTATGATATCTATATCGTTTCGATATCATAATGATATCATATCGATATAGAATCGATATCAATATTTATATCTTAATGATATTGATTTGATATTGATTCATTATTATTAATTTGATGTTGATTCAATATCAAAACGATATCAAATTGAGGTCAATGCGATATCATTATAATAAATCTATAAAAATATCGAATCTATATTATAATGATATATATTTGATATTGAAACATTATCGTAATGATATAGATTCTATATCGTTTATTATACTGTATCATAATTATAAGGATTCATTATATTAACGATATCATTATGATATGGATTTGATATCAAATATATATCATTATGATATTGATTCGATGTAGAATCCATATCCTAATAATATAAAAAACAATATAAATTCTGCATCGAATTGATATCGTTACTATAATGAATCCTTATCATTACAATATGGATTAAATATATAATTACAATATCCTATCGATCTTAATTCAATATCATTAATCATATTGTAACCATATTGTAACCATATTGAATCGATATCGAATTAATAATTGAATAAATATTGAATAGATATCGTAAGATATAAATATTGATATCGATTCTATGTCGATGCAATATCGTAATGATAAGGATTTGATAATTTGTGAAATATATTACAAATTTAAAAATAATATTATTATGCAATTTTAATTTAATTTTTATTTAAGAAATTTAATTATAAAGAATCTAATAATATATGAAATTAATAAAAATAAAAATATTTAATATAATTAATAAATTATATTGCTGTAAAATAAAAATCAAATAAATTATTTTGCACATTTCGTATTCGTAATCGCATAAATTTAATATTCATTAATCATATAATTTTACTCATTTTATATTTGATAATTATATATAATATCTTAAAATACTATCAGATAACAATAAAATTATGTTACACATGATCCTTTGGAATATCAGATATATGATTTTATACATTTTAAAACTTTAATAATCCACCAAAAAATCATGTTATCTCAATTTAAAACTAATAGACTGAAAGAGGATAATTTAATCTATCATTCTATTGGTGTTAATTTTAAAATTTACACAAAATGTAGGATTAAATAGATTTGGTAGTTACATGAAAATTTTGATGAGTATAAATGCATTGCATCATATTACTTTAAACAAAAACCTACACATTTAGCAGATTTATGAAAATTAATGAAAAACCACAAATTTTAAAAAAAAAACTGTATGTTTTATATATATACCAATCATTTTAAATCTTTTTTAAGGTTATTAATTTTTTAATACTTTTTTTGTGTTTAAAATGTCAAGAAAATTAACTTACATTCTAGTCATTTAAGAGTATATGAAAAGAGTTTTTCAATATATAATTATATTTTAGATAATAATTAAAAAGATTAAATATAATGTATTTTAATATGAATTAATTTTGAAAAAAATTTATAATAAAAAAATAAGCAGAAATAAAGAAAAAACCTATGCTGAAATGATAATTGTTAGATTTATTGACATTGCAATTTTAGGATAAACAGTCAGCAGATTTTACAAAATTTTGTTGTAAGAGAATTATATATATATATTATAATAAAATAGTATTAAGTAGCATTAAATATAATTAAATTTTTAATTCATATATCGCATCAGAATACTAGGGATTCTATGTTAGAAAAACAAAATTTATAAAATAATATTTTTGATTGGTTGAATCACATTACTTACATTACTTTGCAAGGTGCGGCTTGAACTCAGTTGTAACAGAGGCGTTCAAGTTTGTAATGGAATTATTGAATATGGTCTGTCAAAAGCTTCAGTCAAAACTTTTGAATGTCGGCTTGATTAGCAGCCATTTCTTTAAATGTGCAGTTTTGTCCCGAAACCTTAATTATAGACTATAATGGATCGGTAAAAAGTAATAATACAATCGCTCTCACTGAGTTGATACAATATATAAAAAGAAACTTGTCGAAATTGTCGGAAAGTATAGAAAATATTTTATTCTGTGAAAATTTTCGATTACAAACAAAGCTTAGGTTCTCAAACACTAAAAAATTAAACGTCAAATGTTCAAATATCGTTATATATTTGTATACCTAATAACAGTCAGGCATAAAATCGTTAGGAAGTGTCATGGTGTGTGTAACAAATAGATCAAGATTTGACAAAATCAAAATGACGCAGAAAGTAGAATATTTATTTATTTTGTCCCAAGTTCGACCAATTTATTAAAGAATCAATGAATAAAATGGATTTTACGTTATAATGAAAGACAATAAAACAATGGATAAAAAGCAAAACAAAAAACAAAAATAAAAAAAAAACTGAATTTATGATATGTTTGATGCAAAAGTTAATATAAGTAATGCAAAAATTTTAATAATCAAAGTTTTCAATTCCAAATTTCTTGATGACACCTAATTTTCTATATTTTTCAATTGTTATAATATTCTCTTCATTCACATCCAACGCCAAGCTATAACCACCATTATTTTTGATAACAAACAAATTTAATGGTCTATGTGGAATTCGATTTCCCCAACTTAAAAAAAATGATTCCATGTCCTGGTGAATTAATTCTGATCTAGTATCATTATAAATCTTCAATTCATTAAAATTTTTTGGTGAATAACTTGCAATAACTTCGAGCAACTCTTTCTCATTTAAAAAGTTGTGACCACACCAAACTTTGATACTTTCTAAATATTGACAACTATCAAGTATGTCTTTTAATATATTCATTTCATCCTTCTCAAACAATACATAGAGCTTTTTAAGAATTGGACAAAAACGAGATATTGATAATTTGACTGATTTGTGAACATCAGCTAAGGTCAATTCAACAAGATTACTTCCATTATTTTCCAAAAATTTCGTGAAGATTTCAATTTGTGGATATCTGTCAGGAATTTTTAAGATTCGTAATTTTGGAAAGATAACGTTTTGTAATTCATCAAAATCGGAAATATATCGATCAGAACAATTATCCGAAATAAGAAGTTCTTGTAAATTCTCAAATAAAGCGATAAATGAGAATGTCACATTTTCCTTATCGGTATGAATGTGTAATTTTGTTAACCTATTATGATGTTTGGTTAGAGCGGGTATGATATCCTTCCAATCTTTGTCATCAAAAGCAATCAAGTTTAAATATTCTAAATCAACTTGGAAGGTGATTAAATCCTTCAACCCATCCGATACATTGTTTTTAAATTCTATAGTCAATGATTGTATATTATGACATATTTGAGATATTTGAAAACAAAATTCAGGGTAAATGTTTGAGTCGCATCTAAATTCTGTTAGATCTTTCAAACAATCCTTTGCTCCTGGAAAATACGAAAAAGGCATGTATTGAACCGTATCTAATCTTAAATTATAATCCAAAGATTTTAAAGATGATATTTGACTCATGAATCCTTTTAATAATTCTTGTAACATTAAATATTTAATAAAGTATAAGCTTTGTGGAGAATCAATTTGTCGATTCCGTAGCGCATCTTCAATAATTTGACCAATCGTATAAATTGAAAGGACCTTGACAAATGATAAATAATTAAATATTGGTGGGTTTAAGATAGGATTTCGAACAACAATTTCATTAAAATATATAAGTTCCTTTGATTCATTAGGGAGACAAGCAATTATGGTTCTAAGGGTCGATAATGGTATATGTTCTCGATGATTGATGCTAAAAATATTCCTCCAAAAAATCCTAACTGCAACTTCGCACCAAGAACGATTAACCAATAAACATGAGCGTAATGAAATTTTGTCTTCCGCCAAGTATTCAAAGATTTCATTCAAACAATCAGCGGGAAGTTGACATGTCATTTTACAAATATATATATATATATACACTAAAAAAAAAAAGGAAAGACAAATTTTTTGTTATAAAAAGAGAGAGAGAAATGATATGACTGAAGAGTTTCATTTTACATTTCAACAAGGCTTTATATAAATGATTTTCGTGCGACGAGTGGCTGACATAAGTATCCAGTTAATTGGCTAAATTGTAAATTGACCCGATTAGTAAAATTACGATCCTCAAACTACATAGATCTTGTAAAAAGATTTTCATCTCTAAATGTTTTTTGATGTAATATACTGATAAAAATTTTCAGAGCAAATATCGTATGCTCCTATTTAGCCGACATCCAATTTTATCGAATGCCGATTACAGAAACCGAAAACTTTACCATATTAGACGACAACCCATTTTGCCGCCCGATATCCATTTCGTCCCATTATAATATTTGAGAATGATTGGCTGACTTGCTCCTAACCAATCGAACGATCTTCGTCCTAAATGATAAGCATGTTCGTCACAATTTGCTTGTTACTAGACAGTTACCTGTTGCTTTTTTTTTTAAAAAAAAAGTAATAATCGATTCCGCTAATTCATAGCCGGATTTATTAAATAAAATTTTTTTTTATAAAAATTTAATGATGTAGTATGAAAATTTATACGAATTAAGATCGTAATTATTTACGCGGTTATGCATTCTACAAAGCATCATAACGTTGATTATCACCAAAATCGTATCACATGAATTAAACGCAAATAAATTAATGAAAACTTTCTATAAAAAAAAGATTAGTCATTCCACGCCATATTAAATAATCATATTTAATGAAATTAATGAAATTTAAATTTAATGAAAGTCGAAAGGATTCAAGTCCTGGTAAATGTTCATTTTATCAAAGATCTTTGAACTCGATCGATACTTAAAAATTCGCTTTCATATTTTTGGGAACTTATTAATTAATTCATCGGTCAATAACCGGTTAAAAATTGGTTAACAGGGTTAAATTTAACACGGGCCGGCACTATACATTTGACCAGAGCTTGCAAATTTTAGTAATCTTAATTCTGGCCAAGATTTTAATTTCGGCCGGAGTTGAGGTCGACTATTTTAATTTATTTTCTATTCTGTAGGGAATTCAAAAATTAAATTATCAGTTGAAAGACGACGAAAATTTCAAATTTATCGGCCGAACGAAAATGCTGATTCGTATTTCGCTCATTCAAATTCAGATGGTTCTCCAACATCATGATTGATGACTTTGAATGCTATTGATCTTAAATTCGAAAACAAGTCTCGATCGCGATTGTTTTTGTTTAACCAATTTTAGGAATATGTCAATACCTTTTGCTTCCTCCAAGAGAATCAAAATTGACAGCCTTTCAAAAAAGTTTGTAGCGTTATCCTTAATTCCGTGAAATACAGAACAATTAAAGGTTTATATATAGACGAGGATCAATTTACAAATTTTATGTCAAACGCATATTAAGGAAAAGAAAATTTTATTTATAATACAAAAAGAATACAACAAATTGATACCGTCTCAATCGGCACTCTGTAAAATTCGGCCCTAAAGAGAAGAGACCCATCTAACCATAAAAGCAGAAAAAAAATTCTATCTAAAAATATCACCACCATATGGGGGTGAGTGCTGCGAAAAGGGACCAAATTGTAAAAAAAAGTATTTTTAAAATAATTAAAGTTCTGGATCAAACAATAAAAGTTACATCTAATTCACTTAGGAATAATTTTTTGAAAAAAATTTCAATTTGGTCCCTTTTTGTAGAACTCACCCATATAATTAATGTCTGAACAGTTCAATAGCCAACAAAAATATTTTCTCCTTATGAATCCTCCCCTCCCCTCCTTCGATATTTGCCCAACTTCAGATCTTCTCTTTTCTACGCCGTAAAGCACTGGAAATATGATGGACAAAAATTTATTATTATTCAAACGTAAAAATTTCAACTAAAATTCTCAAACATTCGGAGTCACTATAGCAATAAGAACGAACTTAAGGATTTTTTCCCGTGAAACTTCTTATTAAAAGACCGCCCGTTCACTTGTGACTTGGTAAAGCCACAACGTTTATTTGTGACTTGATAAAGTCACCCGCCCGTGAAACTTCACTTGTGACTATAAAAATCACACCAGAGATTTTTAACTAGACTAGATTTGTCTTTTAAATAGTAGTTTAAGACATTTTAACTAGAATAGGTTTGTCTTTTAAATATTTGAATTTTTCGTAAGACATTTTTGGTTTTGAAATTTTTCAAAGAAAAAAAAATAATGTTTTAAATTTTTTTTTTTAAGGAAAAAAATGGATCTTCGCTTAAATAGGAAAAAAAAATTAGTATTCCTTTTTTAAAAAAAATGAAACAGTAATAACAAGTAATACAACATTAATATTTTTAGTAAAAAAAAATATTAATTACATAAACAAGAAATATGTGTAACACCACAAACGACGATGATTTTATATAACAAAAATGTTGACGAAACCATTTCAACAAAAAAAATATCCTCATACTTGTCTTTATTATCAAACCTAGTAATTCTATTCGTTTTAAAAAAAGATGATGTGATGATATGGGAACCTTGTTGAGAGAATACATAAATTTCATACCTTAGGGAGGTGGAAGAAATTTCTCGTTATCAAAAAAAGCATTGTTCAGATAAAAACAAATCACAACGAAAACACGAAAACCTCGATTTCTAATGTTAATGGTGATTAACATAAGTAGTTTTTGGGTTGGGCCATACGAAATTAATAGATAAATAAATAATTATAGATTCCTTTACAATATTCTAATAATCTTTATCACAAACATTGTGCCTTTTATTCTAGATAATCATTTAAAATATATCGTTGCGATTAATCTGAAATTTAGTCTTGACTACTTACTGTTATAGAATTTACTTTAATGATGAAAATCTACGGGACCAATAGGAATACCATTTTGATCATAATGAATGTAGATTATCAGGAATTATTGGAGGTATGGTCGTGAAGAATATGTCGTTAATATATCATTCATTTTCAATATGTTGGTTGCTCTTTGATTTTTATCGCAAAATAATGTCGAGAAAATTTATAATTATATAAAAAGACAATCAAATCGGAAAAGTCTCTGAAAGTTTCAATGTTTACAATTCGGAAATTTTTTGAATTCAAATTCGTCCAATTTATCATCGTAAAAATTTGTAAATATATCGAAAATATGTTTTTCCATCAATCATGTGACCAATTCATTATATCAAAAATTTTATGTTAGAATAATTCATAATGAGAGATTGGTCGATAAATATTAAGACGCATTACAATGCAAAATACGTAGTAATTGAAATATGTGATTGGAATTTTTCGTAATATCTGTTCTGTGTAAAATAAACAAAAATATTTATCAAGAATTAATTAGCATTGTCGCGATCGATTTAAAAACACATGCAAAGAAAAAAACCGGGATTTAAGTGACCGATATTTTTATTAGCCATTAGTAGCATTAATTTCTATTGGTCGCATACGCATAAGTGTATTCAAGTAATCATGAACGAATTTTAAAGAGAATGTCAACAAACAAAGTCTTTTTAGCGCAGAAAACATGATACAACGTTGCCACCATCGAAAAGCGTTTCACATCGCAAGTGGAGTGTGAGCAAATAATATGTTGTCTTGTTATAATTCGGAGCCTGGAAACCTTAATGTCTTACAATTGCTTCTGCATAAATTATTCGGTCCAAAAATGTTTTCTATACAGGTGTACCCGTAAAAATTGGATTGACTTTTCTTGAACTCCTTATATAGAGAGCAATACTCCAAGTTTTTATTTCGCAAGAAAATAAACTATCCGTAAGTAATAAAATTCCGCTACATTGGAGGTAATCCAACAATTGACCATGGTATCATTTATCCTGTAGGTTATATTCTAAATTCCATTCCCTTCTTGACTTCAAATCTAATTTGGTTTTTTTTTTTGTCAACAGTGGGAATATGATTTTTTCATTATGAAGTTTTCACCACAAATCAATAATTTCTTTTTCATCAGGGTCGACTACTCATTTCCAAACAGTAATTTTATTATGTATGATAATATTCATGCATAACGAAATCAAAGCTCTCATTTGCATCTTCAACTTTTAAAAAAAAAATCAAGTTTATCAAAGTTTATCGTCATTCATATATTTATAGCGTCATATTTAACAAAAAAAAGATTTTTATTCTTTTCGTATTGTAGTAAAATGTCAATTTTATTTCCTTTGATATATTTAGTTTAGTTCATTTTATTAATTATCACAACATATATAAATATCTCTATAATTTACTAAGTCTCGATACCTTTGGATAAAGAACTTACTATTCTTATAATATTAATAAAAAGTATATATAATTAACAAAGTAAAGACTTATCTTTCGCAACTCTTTAACCTGTTTGTAAATTTATAATAATATTGTATTGATTTGTTGTATTGACTTAAGATATAGTCACTGAAATGTAATCTCTAAAATATCCAGAAGTTACTGTGTTTAAATTGAGAATAATCTTTGAAGATACTGTGAATCCTCACCTATAATTCCTTGAGTTTAGTCTTAGATTTATTTACTTTTAACAACTTTAATTTTAGTTACTAATCAGATGTAACAATATTATATCAAAGACCTTCCTAAATACTAGATTTTAATGAACATTATCCTTATTGATTATAATGCATAAGATGCATCCAACATTTTTTTCAATTCTCCTAATTATATACCTCTTCCATTAATTTCATTCACTTAATATAACATTAAAGGTTTTACAAATATTGCTAAACAATATACTATTTTAGAATATTACCTTTCACTTAAATTAGATGTTATAGGATTAAAAATAAATAAACTTTCATTAATAATATATTAAACCATTTATCTGAGAACACCTTTCTAATTTTTAGGCTTTTCAGTTCTAACCTACATCCTTAAAGATCGGTTTAAGAGTTAGTATTCTATCATATCTACTTTTACCAATGCTATAAATTGTATTATTTATA